TCCAAAAATCCTAACAATTGGTATCAGAGCCTAACTCGTTAAGAAGGTTTAACCACCTTGAGACGATCCTAGAAGAAGCTCTACCAATTCCCGACACAACCGAGAAGATGGCTTTCACCTCTGGCTCGTTCCACATGGAATACTCCCTACCAACGAACAAGCCTCCATACTTCAATGGAGACAACTATTATCATTGGAAGAAATTAATGAAGGTATTCATCCAATCCAATGATCTTGATGTATGGGAGATAATCGAGAATGGCTACTCTTCTCCAAAGAAGAAGGAGAAGAAGCGGAGTGACAAAGAACGGAAGAAATCTCAACTTAATGCCAAGGCCATGCACATGTTGTTTTGTTCATTTGGTCCTGAAATCTATGAAGGGGTTTCTTCATGTTCAAGTACTAAGGAGCTTTGGAATAAGCTCGAGGAAATCCATGGAAACAAGAAAGAAGAACCAACAAAGGTGGTGTCTCTAATGGCTTATGAAGAGCCCGAGGTATCTTCTAACTCAAATGAACTTAATTCATATACATTTGATGAGTTACAAGATGCTTTTAATAGGTTATATTCGGAGTTTGAGACCATGAACTCCAAATATAAGAAAATGATTTCAAAATTTAAAATTGAAAACGATTTTCTTTTGAAAACAAAAATAGATTTTGAAAGCCAAAATGAAATTTTGAAAAAGGATTTAGAGCTTTCAAAAATAAAAATTGATAGTTTTGAAAAACAAAATTTTGATTTAAAAGTTAAGCTTGAATGTTTAACAAAAGAAAAAGAAATCATTTTAAATAATTCATTTAGTTCAATAATGACAATATGCTCACATTGTCATTATCATGGTCATTTGGAACATACTTGTCCTTTGAAGAAATGAAAACGTTTTAAAATTAGGCAAGTATGGGTTCCGAAAGGAACAAGGGGCATTGAAACTAACGTCCAAGGATCCAAAGAAATTTGGATACCAAAATCTACTTAAATGTCTCTTGTAAGTGTGTGGGAGCAATGATGATGAGAGTGATGATATTCAAGATGCTCTAGCCACACATGAAAAAGGAATGGGTAACCTCTAAGCTTAATGCTTTTAATTTAGGTTATTTGGTTGCTCATTTGATTTTAAGCATGCATGAGTTTTGGTTTTAAATGATTATGCATCATTGTTTTAATCTCATGTATGTTGAAAAGATGATTATGATGAACATTTATTTTTGAGAATTTTTAGTTCATCATAATGAATTTTGGTCAAAATTGGTTTTAAATGCTAATGATATCTCTCTAACAATTGATATCAAATTTCAAAATACTTTGATTTTATAAATTTTAATTTTTGGCCTAAATTTGAATGTTTATGCATGTGGTCTAAATGAAAATGATATCTCTCTAGCAATTGATATCAAATTTTTAAAATTGCATAACATTTTTGGAAAACTTTATGCAAATGCACTTAATTTTAGCAATTGTTATTAATATCAAATTTCAACAATTGGTATTGCATAAAGTATTTTAGACTTGGATATATTGAATTTCATGTGCTACAAACATGTTTGTTATTCTTTTTAGAAATTCAATATTTTGTTTAAGTGTCAAGATCTTAAAAGCTTAATTTTGTTTGGAATACATTTATTGAGGGAGAGCTTTGATTTTTCAAATTATTTTTAAATGTAAAATTTACTACTTACTCTCCAAAGTTATTTTAAACTTCAAAGATTGAATTATTTTTGATATAACAAAAAGGGGGAGAAGTTTAGTTTGAAAAATTCAATTTCTTAATGAAAAAGGGGCAGTTTAACATTTTCATATGTTTTCCAACAACTAGTATCTTTTTCATTAAACATTTTATTAAGGGGGAGTTTTTGCCAAAAACATTTTTTTCAAATGTTTTGTTATATCAAAAAGAGGGAGATTGTTGAACTATGTTTCGGTATAACAATTTAAGGCAAAATGGTTTTTGGACTTGAATTGAATTTACAAAATGTATTTGGACTTAATTGAATTTATTCAAAATTTACAAAAATAATTCAAAGTTCTTTTAATTTAAAATTGAGCACAAAAATGTATTTGTGAATAGTAATTTACTATTTGAACAGTAAATCACTGTTTGAACAGTACCCGAGGCTCAAAAATTTCAGTATGTAAAAGGGGAACTGATTCCCCTCAAGGGGGTACCGATTCCCTCACTGTTCATCAGCCCAACGGTCATAATATTTGAATATTATGAAGGGGTATCGATTCCCTATGAAGGGGTATCGATTCCCCCCATTCTGGGCAGCCTATTTTTGCAGAAAAATCATTCCCAAACGGCTCCAAAACATCCCCAACGGCTAGATATGACTTCAAACACATTCCAAGCTATAAATACAAGCTAAGGACACTTGAAGAAGAGAGAGAACAACTATCCAAGTAATCAAACACAAGAGAAGAGTTTTTCATTCTTATTTCATCTTTCTCTTGTAAATATTTTGTTCTTGTGAGCTTAATTCTTGTAAACACCTACCTTAGAGAGGTTTTCTTGTTTACATTTTTTATCCTTTTGTAAAGGGGAAAGGTTCTAGCGTAGCCCGTGTAAAAGCTAGGGAAAGGTTCTAGTTTAGCCCGGAAAAACTAGGGAGTTTGTAAGGTTACTCTTTATCCTCGAAAGAAAGAACAAATTAGTGAATTTGTTGGAAAATCCTTGGTGAGGAGCTAAGGTAGTGGACGTAGACTTTGATTGAGAAAGTCGAACCACTATAAATCGGTGTCCAATTCTCTATCTTTCAATCTCCTTACTCCCTAAACACAAAACCGTTCCGACCCCTCTTTGCAAATCGTTCCGATTGTCGTTTTGAGCTTCCGAAAATCCTAACACTCACAAGCTTAGTTACACACAATTAACTCTAACATACTATATGCATTCATCAAATAAGCATGCGAACATGAATTATCATGAACATATGATCAATACAAGACTCAACAAAATTGGGTGTCATTGTGTAGTCGAAAGATCACATAGCATCTCGAAACTTACACCCCTATATCTTACTTGAGGCACCCTAGATAAGACACGAGTCACAAACCATCAAAATATTCATCTAGAAAGGCCCCTATTGCCTAGTACCTAGGACGCCTCTGGGGTCATATAGCATCAGAGCCTACGTCTTGTTAGTCTACTCCTCAGAGTACTTTGGACGTCTCTGGGGTTGCATATCATTAGGGCATACGTCCAACTAGCATTTAAAGTACACATGCACTGACTTCACACATTCGGATGTCTAATCATACAAGAAGATCATCATAAATATAAACAAGTTCGGGTGTCCTCATCGTTTCTCGAATATCATACAAGGGCTAGTGCTATGTCATCTTAATTTATGTCATTCTCAAGGAAGATCAAAACTTAACCTTCAATTGAGTTTCTTACTCGATCAAGGATCAAGGTATCAATATTGGTTGTCTAGTATTGATACTGACCTTAGGAGGGTATCAATATTACCTCGAGTACTGATAACAAAAATTGCTTCGATGTTATAAAAATTCCCTCAGTATCGATACTCTTATCTAGAATATCTATACTCTAACACATGGGTATTGATACTTCCCCAATTACCGATACAAAAAATGGTTTCGATGTTTTGGAAAATACCTCAGTATCGATACTCTTCCTGGGAGTATCGATACTATACCCCTAGTATTGATACTCCCATGGGTACCAATACCAAAAATGGTTACTGGAATTTGAGTTACTGTACCAGTATCAATAACATTCCTATGGTATCGATACCAGTGGAACAATATCGATACCATATGAGCAAGTATCGATACTCTCTACCCAAAACTCCCATCAATTTAGACTAATCGAAGGGAGATATCAGTACTGTTCATATAGTACCAATTCTTGTGCCCAGAAACATCTTTTTTCTATGAAAATACAACCCTAAACCCAATCATTCATCACTTAAACCCCTATTTGTTATTTTTCATGGCTAAAGTTTGAAAAGGTACACTTGGAAGAAATCTTGGAGGATGAGGATTCCATTTCTTATCTTATATTTTTAGATTGGAGAGGCGAGGTTCACAAAGTTATCACCTTTTTTTAATCTACAAGAAAGGAGATGGAAAATGGAGTTTGAATGGAGGAAGGAGAAGATAAAGTGGGGAGAGAAATGAGGATATCATTTTCCTTGTTTTTTCTAGGTGACTTCACAATATTGAATGAAATTCAGCCTTTGAAACAATTAAGGGGTTAATTGCTCTCCTAGTCTTCCTCATTTCATACTCAATTCAAAAGCACCCTTTTTATGCCTTAATGGGGTCAAGCCAAAACCAAAACAAGGTAAACCTTAACCCAACATTCCTAACTGGTTCCTTGGCCTATTTAAAACTCACATGGGTTTACCCAAAACTACCAACCCATAAATTGTGGCATTACAACGAGCGTATGGATACTTTTAATTGGAGTATCAATACTAGGACACTAGGGTATCAATACCAAATTTAGTTTTGATGTTTCAAAAATTTCCCTAGTATTGGTACTCCTAACTGTAGTAATGGTACTTCTATATGAGGGTATAGATACTGCCCTGGGTACCGATACCAAAAATAACTTTGATGTTTTGAAAATTAACCTAGTATCAGTACCCATATTGGGAGTATCGATACTCGACTCTCAATATCGATACTCTTCTGTGTATCGATACCAAAATTGGCTACTTGAATTATAAACTTGGGAATGGTATCGATATTACCCCTTGAGTATCAATACTTGTTATATGAGTGTTGATACTCTAGACCTAAATAACTTATGCAGTTTAATAATACGAAAAACAATATCGGTATTGTTCATCCAGAAATATCAATTTTGGGTACGAAAATGCCACCTAACACTACCCATTTCCCCCTTAAGGCCATAAAATGATGTTTAAGTCTTATGTAAGTTTATAAGCGTCATAAAGAGTCATTTTGCATCCTTAAAAACACTTAAAACTAGAACTACAATAGGCATGCTCGTATACATCATAAACTAATGCAAGCTAAGCAAGGGAACTTAAAGGTCCACAAATGGTATAGGAAGGTTAGAAATGTGTTATCTTATCTTCATATCTACTGGAAACATCTTCAATCACCCAAGATCAACTTCTCTTTGTCCTTGTCTTTGGAGCTTTCGCTAGTCTCTTTCACTATCATATCATGAGAAAATGAGTTACTAACTCACCTAAAGGCTTAACAAGATTAGAAATATGGTTTCAAACCTCTACAAATAGATTAGGATCACTTACGAACTCTAAAACCTAAAACCCATTTTAAAACCCCCCATCTAAGGCTTTCTGTAGTCAAATCTTAAAATAGGAGGCTTGGATGAAAACTTAGGATGTTAGGACTTTGTTTCATAGATTAGAAATTATGAAATGTGATTGAGAGACAAGAAGTTCTCACATTTGTTAGACTTAAAGAATGAGGAGGAATGATTTTGAAAAGGGATGATGAAGAAGGCAATGAGACAAAGTCTCCCAATGAGACATAGACACTCATAAATGGGAATAAACCTTTAGGAAAATTTAGGGGTAATTTACCTTTTTCCCCCCCAATTTGCTCAACTCTTAAAAATATCATTTTAAGCCTATATGGGCTCAAGCCCAATTCATGATAAGCCCAAATTAACCCTAAACATTTAATTGGTTACTTGGTTTGCTCTAAAGCTCACTTGGGTTACCCGAAACTACTACCCTGGGATTTGGGGTGTTACATGGGAGGTTTTTCTAGTGCAATTACCAGCATCATGGGGTATATGGGCTAAATTTGTTGATCTGTCACGGAATTCACTTGGTGAAGAATTTATTCGTGTGTAGTGAATTTACTTGTATTTTAACAAGTTCTAGATTTGTTCATTTATTAAGAGAAGAATTGCTCATTCCACTATTTATTAGTTCCAGATATAATTAGTTTTACTTATACAAATAAATTAGTCCTAAAACTTTTGAACATTTCAATTTCATCCCCCATCTATGACCTTTATTCTATATTAGTTCTCAAACTTTTTGAACATTCTAATTTCATCCCAAACTATACATATATACTAATCACCTTCATTATTAATAAAATCGTTAGGCCAATTCATATTAATTATATGTTAAAAAACAAAATTTAGGTTACATTAAGGTTGAAATTAATTACATATTTGGATGGATTTGGGGATGAAATTAGAATAGTCAAAAGTTTAAGGACTAATTTAAAATGAGAGTTATAGTTTGAGGACATATAATACAATTAACTCTTTAAATCATTAAATATCATTTTGGGCCAAATCATTTGATTATTAGTGTTAGGCTTAAAGGCATTTAAGGCCTCAAACTTTTTTTAAAATAAATTATTTAAGGCCTCAAACTATAAAAAAAATCAATTTGAAAACATGGTATCAAAATAATTTTGTGTGATGTGACAATATCTTATTAATCGAAAAATAATTTCCTAACTAAAAAATGATAAAACTTAAAATGATTAAATATAATAATTTAAGGACATATGACCAAAAATAGTTTAGGGGCTTAAAACAAAAGGAGAACATAGTTTAAATACTTTTACTTTAAGCCATTTTTTTAGTATAATATAGGGACTAAAACCAAAATTTAACCTAAAACACTATTTTAGGAAAATGAGGAAAAATGTGTGGTTTCTCTTATGGTTGAATATTGTGTTTTGATATTCGAAACCTATAAGAAGATCCCATCTTTCCTCCCATTCAACCAAATATCAAAATCATGGCCAATATTAACATCAACATTATTCTTCCCATTTGCCTCATTTTCTTGGCCATGGTTTCTTCTGCTACTGAGCAGATCGAAAAATCCCATGTTTCGATCTCTAAATTGTTTCTAATCCGACATGCATGTCAATCCACTCGGTTCCCGCTATTATGTGAAAGCTCTTTAGCACAACCCTCCCTTCTTCCTCCCAAACCAACCACCGTCCAAATCATCCAATCCGCCATTTCCGTCTCTAAGGACCACCTTAAGAAAGGACAAGACATGGTGGCAGAAGTCACCGACAGCGTCCCCACCGCCCATGTTAACCACACCACCCTCATCCTTATTTGTTTGGAGATCCTTGCATACTCAGACCACCGCATGGAATCTGCCAGCCACGCGTTAACACAAGGGAAGGTAAAAGATGCACGTGCATGGATGAGTGCCGCTCTTGCCTACCAAAAAGGAAGTTGGGGCAACATCAAGCGCATCAATGACACCATGTCTATCGCCCACGTGATGACGTCTCTGGAGGAGTTGACTCGTCTCAGCAGCAATGCGTTGAGCATGATGGTGGCCTATGATAATAACGGGGAGGACACTCTCTCATGGACCCCTCCCAAAACGGAACGGGACGGGTTTTACGAGGACCGACCGGGTCAGAAATCGGAGTTGAGATTTGAAGGGGGGGTTCCCACGAACTTGAAGGTGGACATAACGGTGTGTAAAGATCATATAGAGTGTTACAAGACGTTGCATACTCAGACCACCGCATGGAATCTGCCAGCCACGCGTTAACACAAGGGAAGGTAAAAGATGCACGTGCATGGATGAGTGCCGCTCTTGCCTACCAAAAAGGAAGTTGGGGCGCCCTCAAGCGCATCAATGACACCATGTCTATCGCCCACGTGATGACGTCTCTGGACGAGTTGACTCGTCTCAGCAGCAATGCGTTGAGCATGATGGTGGCCTATGATAATAACGGGGAGGACACTCTATCATGGACCCCTCCCAAAACGGAACGGGACGGGTTTTACGAGGACCGACCGGGTCAGAAATCGGAGTTGAGATTTGAAGGGGGGGTTCCCACGAACTTGAAGGTGGACATAACGGTGTGTAAAGATCATATAGAGTGTTACAAGACGGTGCAAGCGGCCGTAGACGCTGCGCCGGAAAACGCAGCGAGTCATTTTGTGATTAAAATAAGGAGCGGAGTGTACCGTGAAACAGTGAGGATTGCGATTGAGAAGAAGAATTTGGTGTTTTGGGGGGAAGGGATAGGTAAAACCATTATTACAGGTTCTTTAAATGTGCACCAACCTGGGATCACTACCTTTAGTTCTGCTACTGTGGGTAAGTCTTATCCCTTTATCTGTTGTTTTTCAAAGTTTCGTTTGCTTTATATTTATATATATATATATATATAGTTTGATGTATTGCAGGTGTTCTTGGGGATGGTTTTATGGCGAGAGACCTCACGGTCGAGAACACGGCAGGCTCCGAAGCCGACCAAGCGGTGGCTTTCAGATCAGACAGTGACATGTCCGTGATCGAGAACTGCGAATTCATCGGCAATCAAGACACCCTGTCCGCCAATTCACTCCGACAGTTCTACAGAAACTGTAGTATCCAAGGCAACGTGGACTTCATCTTTGGAACCGCAGCTTCGGTGTTTCAGGATTGCCTACTTTTGGTGGCTCCCCGAACATCAAATCCCGAAGAAGGTGACAACAATGCCATCACGGCTCAGGGCAGGACCGATCCGGCTGAATCAACAGGTTTCGTCTTCCATCATTGCGTAATCATTGGAACGGAAGAGTACATGAAAATCTACAATAAGAATCCTCAAGTGCACAAGAACTATTTGGGAAGGCCATGGAAGGAATACTCAAGGACGGTTTTCATAGATTGTAATATCGAAAAACTTATAAGTCCAGAAGGATGGACGACATGGAGCGGAGACACTGGATTGAAGACCCTTTTCTATGGAGAATTTAGGAACATCGGAGGAGGATCCGATTTCTCCAAGAGAGTTCCATGGAGTACCCAAATTCCACCACAGTTTGTACATGCCTATTCAGTTGAGAATTTCATTCAAGGAGATCAATGGATTCCCAAATCACAATGATTTTTTTTTAATTTCATAAATGTAAAGTTCACTAAGGTTTTTTTTATATAGTTACACCTCTGTTTGTAAAGGTAAGAAAAAAATTTACAAACATAAAAATGTTGTAGTATTATCAAAAGATCCATCATTGTAAATTTGTAATAAATACTTATTTTATCTCATTTATTAATACAAGAAACTATCATTATTTTCAACTTTTTTACTATACATAAAAAAAATTTGTATTAGAGAACATCATATTGAACTCCCTTAATGAGTATATTTCTTAAAATTAATCACAACATCACTCATAGTGATAATTATTTACATGATCCATACACTTGAGATCGTCATTATCTAAACATCATAAATCATATATTTTGGTACGTCAAACGTCCAAAGTAATTGATTATTACATAAAGACTTATGATAGTGTAAAAATGATCCTTAAACTCGGATTGAATCTCGACTTAAATGAAAAATTTACCTTTGGAGTTGTCATGACCTTTTAAATTAGATGGGATCGAATACTTAAAAATTATCTTTTTAAAATAGATCTATGTCTTATCAAATTCACTTGGAAATGTTTGAGATTCAATTACACATTAGGAATGATGAGCATCTCACAACATCATGAATCAATATCAGACTAGTTATATGTTTTCTTAATAATGAAATTTATAAATTCACCCAGATTTAAAACGCGACCTTTATACTTATAGAAAAAACAAATATCAATTTAGATATATAAATAAAATATACATTAAAAATATATCTTATAAGAAAAAAATATACTACTAGATTAAATTATACATAATACATATATATAATTAAGAATATACTAAATATGAAAATATATATAATCACAAAATAGTATAGTATCTATTAATTAAAGTAATAAGAAATCAAAAGTATTATATATAATTATTAGTATTATTTTTAAAATATACTAATAATATAATAATATGGTTCAAAATATGTACCAAAGATCCTAAAATATTTAACTTGATTTAATGAATGTTTATGTTCACGAATTAGACTTCGTATTGAGCTTGCTAGAATTTAGTCCAGACTGGATCTATTTACACGACCTACTTTCTTATCCTTTTAACATCAAATTTCACGAGACGAGCGAGAGATACTTGAGTCTAACAAATGTTTGTTTTTATTATTCTGGAGTTAAGAATGAAACTCCTTTGATTTTTGTTTGTGTTTAATGAGGTGAAGTCTTCTTACATCCAATGATACATCTAATGATATAGATCATTTATATCGACGATTAAGATTAAAGTATATATACACAATCCTCCTATTTAAGAAAATTAAATCAAGACTAAGAATATATTTAATAGATATGAGATTACATCAAATATGGAAAAATTATAAAAGAAAGTTCGTATAAGTATTAAACCTATAATCTTCTTGTCATAACTAATATCCATGGGATCTTCAGCATTCCCCATGGGAAGAGTCAACTTGGAGCCCAAATAAAAATTGAGTATTACAGTTGTTCATCTTTACTCATTGTGTGGAGCTGGAGTAGAGTAAAGACAAAAAATAATCGATTTTCTCATACTAGGGTGATTTGGGTTTGAATGAACTAGGAAAGTTATTTGAAATATCATGTATATCAAACTTGGAAAAATTAGAAGTTGGTCCACTCTATTACGAATTAGGGCTAGATAGGAACTATATTGATTTACTTCACTTCTGCTTTAAGATCTGGTTTGATGCACTTCACTACTACTTCAGGAAGATCAAATATGAAAAAAAACAATATTTTATCCACTCTGTTGTTTCTTCAAGAAGACATGATATGTATTGATTAAATTTAAAAAAAATGATATTCATTTCAGATGCGAGAGTGACTTATGTCTCACTCGAGGTACTAGTCACGTGGAGTCATTAGATGTATGTTTTGATGTGAGTATGATTGATGTATCATCCAAAGTATATATATTAGTGGGCTAGAAGGGTGTGAGTCTTATGATGTGCATGACCTCAAACTATATCATGATACATGCTTGTGTGTGTTAGATGGGTGTTTGAGCTCTGTGATCCCAATCTCATCCTTAGTATTATATTGAGTTTAGGATGCGTGTTTAAGCTTTGTGGTCTAAGTCTCATCCTTGTTGTTGTATTGTTATTGTGATTGCAAATATACATTGGATAGATGGCTTGATAGTATTGATGGCATTGGTAACGTTGTTTCTCTAACTATACTTATTGATATATTAATTTTATGAATGCATGTAGTATAGTAGAGTTATTGTGCGACACTGAGTTCTTTAGTTCAACATTCAAAATGTGTTTATGTTTATAGGTTACATGTTTTGTGGAGCACTATGGGACAATAATATTATTGGAGGAGTCTCAATAAAATACTATAATACCACTGTGACAACTTGGTGGGCATGTATAGGTTATGGTTTGAAGTTGGGTCAAAATGTATTATCTTATTTATTTATGTATGTATGTATGTGTTGGATTGTAAATAAGGGACAACTAGACTTGATTATGAATCTAACCATATAAGGCAACTCTTCTAGTTCAACTTGTACACTTAATAACAAATTTTCAAAGTTGTCTGACAGAAGTTATTTTGAGTAGAATCTGCTGCCCTGTTTTCTGACCTATACACGATTAAAAATTCATATATTTTTGTGTACACCTCGAAAGCAGTCACCATTTATTTTAAACGAATCTATACTGACATAAAATTCTAACAGTGTAGAGATCATTCTCTAATCAATTCTTTATAATTTATGGTGAATTTCTAAACTCACTGTTCGAATTCTAATTTCTAGACAACTTTCCTTAATTAGCATCCTTAGCTTAATTTTATAATTTTGTAAGCTTAATAAATGAACCTTTAGGCTAGAATAACAATTCACATAACATTAGGAGTCACTTCTTACCATAGTAACTTCGTCACTAGCTCATCGCAAGACAATGTTTGTACAATAACACAAACACAAATTAAATGCACTCACCTTTACCTTCCTGTCGAATCTCCTCCTCGATAATTTTCTCAATTTCTGCACTTTTTCCTTCTTTTTTGAGCTACTTGGATCACTAGATTTATTGAGGTCTAATGATGTCATATAATAACATAAAATGTTCCAGGTATATGTTAGTATTAAACTTACATAATTTAAGCGTAAATATAAAATTCGATAGAAATAAAATCGATATAAAACTAAATTGTAGTCCCATCAAAATTTCAAACTTCTCAAAACATTTCCTTAAATTCTAAAAATATATATTTCCATTATCAACCTTTCAACTTTTGCTAATTGCACAATCAAACCACTAATTATGAATCCTTTCTAGAATTCACCATAACTTCTCATTAAATTCATAATAGTCTTTCACTATTAAGGTCATGTCACATTAGTCACTAAAAATTTCCAGCACCATAATAAAATATTCAAATCAACACTTGAACATTTAAAAACTTGCAATTTCATCCTTAGCTTTCTAAAACTTTTCAATTTCAACCACCCAACTTGATAAACTTGAAATTCGATCCCAACTCAACATTTTAACTCCAAAATCAGCACATAAATAAAATTTCCAGAAATGTACAATTTTACCCAAATTGTACTTTCATATTTAAAAACTTGAAATCAAGTCCCTATTTCTCGAATTCCACCCCTAAATTTTACCAAACTTGCAATTTGGTTCCAACCAATTTTGTAACTTAATTTTCCAACATCTTAATACTAAATATTATTATTGAATACTCCAAATATCACATTTATATAATAATGTCTCGCAATCCTTAAAACTTGTAAACTATCCCTTTTCACTTTTAAGGTTCCAAATTGATCCAAATCAATCTCCAATTCACATAGAATACTTATAATATCATTTTTAAACCATAGGAAATTTTTCAACATTTTTCCCTTAATATTTTCCCTATGGCCGAATACCCCATGTCACTTTAGGGAAACTTTTTGTTCAATTTCAAGCATGAATTCAATCTTGTTACAACAAATTCATGCTATTCTAATCATCACAACATCAAATTTAATCCTAATCCAAATCCAAATCATCTCTTAAAATCTTAGCCATGACCAAGTAATATATAAGCACCTACGCTTCATTTTGGTCATTACAGAAGCTTTAGAATTAATCAATAAACAATATTTATCAAATATCAACATCCAAGCATGTTTAACAAGAATTTCTTATACCAAAAGATAGAGAATTGAATGTAGAACATTTTCCTATTTCACAACTTAGTCCAAAATCCTTCTAAAATAGCTCAAAAATGGAAAATAAAACTTTTTCTCACCTTGGAGGGGTTCATGACAGCAAGCTAATAGAGAAGAAGAATTCTTGATTTTTCTAACAATTTTCATGATACACGTGGCATTTAAACAAATTAAATTAAATTTAAAATTCAATTAATGAAAAATCTCCAAAATACCATTAATGAAACTTGATATTTACCAATTGCCATTACAATATCTTCCATCAAAATATTCCTTAGTCAAAGTCGAACCAATTTGATTTTGACCTTCTACTTTGGCCATGTAATTTTCAAAAATTGCACTTTAGTCACTAAAATTCTACTATTCGGTCAAATCTAAAAATTTACACTATACTGAGCCAAATTTCTATGATCTAAAATATGGAAATACTATTTCTAAACATTTTCTAACATCCTTCAATTTTTCACAAAATTCCAATTCTATTCGATTATCCGATTCCAATACCGAACTTTTTCGCTTTATAGTTTTTAACACAAATCCCGTACTGAAAATCTGATTCTCACAATAATCCTTGTTTTAGACCAAGTTGTTCATTTACGGGCTAAATAAAATATGTAACTTTTCAAAATTACATTTTTTGGTCCCTAAACTATTCAAAGTTTGCACTTTAACCACTAAACTTTCAAACCTTACCTTTTAATCACTAGATAAAAATTTGGGGTATTACAATTCCTTCCCCCTTAAAGAAAACGCGTCCTCGAATTTTCCATACGTATCTACATACCTGAAATAAACAGACAA